TCACTTCATTTCACCGAAAGTTCATTTAGCCGACATCACATGGGGTTAGGGTTAGGGTTTTATTAGTTTCAGGTATAAAAATTTACTTCTCGAACTGATTCTATCAAGAAAATCGCTAACTCGATGTTCGCGAGTTAGTCTCTCTTTATGCTACAAGTTATTAAAGAGAAGTTATTAAGGTTTCCAAAACTTTATAAATTATTCAAAAAGTAAACGCACAGATTTCGGATCATTCATAAATTGATCTACGATAGCTTGTTCTAATCGTTCGATTTCTTCATGAGCTTTCCGTTGCTGCTCTAAAATGCTTTCCATCGTGTCTACTAGTGCGATAATAATAAAGATTATTAACTAACGTTAAACATAGTGACATTTAAAATGTTTGTACAACATGATCATTCCTTAATTATGTAACGGTAATTTCCTCGATTTTTTTTTTCTTTACTGTATCACAGAACTTTTTTAAAAATACATTCGTAATAATTTTAATATTATAATGTCACGCTATGGAGATTATACTCGTGATCCCTGGTAATATACTTTCACTAGTATGTAATGTTAACTTTTTTTCTGTGATTGCCTGTGAGTACTAAAATAATATACTTAACTTTAGCCCATGGGTAATTTTAAACGACACAGGAGGCGCGTTTGCCATGGGTGCTATAGGTAGTGGTATATGGCACTTTGTAAAAGGTGCTAAAAATTCTCCAAAGGTATTATAAATAGAAATTATATTTATTATTCTCATATGTCTTGATTTACACGTAAAAATAATTATTAGCCCATTTTAATCAATTTTTAAATCGATTCTTTATTTACATTATTTTATTAATTTTAATTATATTAGGGCGAGCGTATAATTGGTGCAATTACGGCAGTTAAGGCTCGTGCGCCAGTATTAGGTGGGAATTTTGCAGTGTGGGGAGGTTTATTTTCAACATTTGATTGTACATTGAAAGGCATAAGGCAAAAAGAAGATCCATGGAATTTAATCGCGAGTGGATTCTTAACTGGTGGAGTTTTGGCAGCGAGAGGTTTTTGTTTTACTCACATATATATATAATAAATCTTTCAGTTTCAATTATAAATATTAAAATTTTTTGATGTCAAAAATAGGTGGTGTTGGTGCATCAGCAAGATCAGCAGCTTTTGGAGCTTTTGCATTAGCATTGATTGAGGGTATTTCAATCGTTGCATCCAAATTTTTCGCACCATCACCAATGATTCAGGTAATCTAATATTTCTAATTTAATTTAAAAATTGGGATTGAATATTTTTATTAATTTGTTTTATTTATTAACTTTTTTAAGATGCCCGATTTACAACCTCCAAATTAGGGTTGTGATCCAACCTTTTTTTTTTTTTTAAAAAAAAAAAAAAAAAAAACTTACATTACTACTCAGTTTAGTTTTGGAATGGGATTTCTAATTCATTTTGGATGATAACTAAAACTAAAATATAGGTCCCACTTTCGGTTATAGAAAATAAAGTGATATATTAGATTCGTAATTATATTGAATATGTACCAGTGCACAATAAATTAAAAATTAGAAACGTTACAGCTATTTTCATTATTCTAGGGATACCTGGTTAAAGATGATTATTTACCCGATTTGATTAAGTTTTTGATTTCGACACGATTAGTATAATATGTTTACTATATAGAGGTTGTCTAAAGCATTGTAGTATTCTATATGCATCATGTGATTTAATTTATTGTACATGATTTGTAATCAAGTTAACCTTTACAGATAATTGATTTTATCGTTTGTTCTGAAGTTATTAATACAAATGACTCTCAGTATAAGATATAAGAATTTACAAGTCCTAATTGAAAATTTATAACAAAAAGCTTTCGATGTATGGACCCGGTGTATTATGTAAAATTTTTAAATATTGTTGAATAATATATACTGTAATTTATAAATAATTTAATACCTGATATTGTTTTAACTTTGATTTCGTTTATCATAATTATTAATAACTTATTTTTTTGTTAAACAAACCTCATTTGTGTTTCTAATAAAAGTAGTAGAGAAAAAAACTCCGGTCATAATGGTAGTTAAACCGCTGAAATCGACCCAGTGGATCACGAGACATGAGCATTTTAGTCTTCGCAGCTATATGATCAAAACAAATATAGTCGCGAAGACTTAAAACGCTTATATCTCGCGATCCACTGGGCCGATTTTAGCGTTTTTAACTACCATTATAACTGGAAGTTTTGTCTCTACAACTTTATTATAAGCACAAATGATTTACTTAATAAAAATAATAAGTTATCTTTTGGGAAGCTTCAGATTCCAAAAAAGAGGATCGTCTAAAGCCAGGTTCGTTAAGGTTAGTTTTTTTGATGCATTTAGTAGTTTTTTTATATATAGATATCAAGAATGGAACTTATGCAATATGCGGATCTATATGTAAACGAACCTGGCTTTAACCGATCCGGATTCCGTGCTATTTGATGCCATTCTGTGATATTCTGTGGCGATTAAGGTCTATTTTGCGATTTTGTCGAATTCTGCATAGAGCGAAAGGGCGGATTATGCGATGCGATTGGTCCAAATTATTATGCGATTTTTTTTAAAGAAATAATAAATTTTATTTATTTATTGAAATTTAAAAAATTCAACTTGCTAATCGAATTTTTAGACAAATGTTGTCTGTTATCCGTTAAAATTCTATTATATGTAGAGAAACTATGCTCTATATTTTTTTTAATTAATCATTTTTAATAACTAAATTTTAATCGATAGTTTTTAAAATTCTGTTTCCACTCATGTTGATTTAAGATTCCAAATCAAATTAAGTGTATTCGGAATTTACAGAATTCCGAATCCACTTACAACATATAAGTTATATATGACTCACTTCGATAATAAAAGCTTAATTATTTATAGTATATAATTTAAATTACGATCTTAATTAAAAATAAACAGATTGCCGAGTAACACACTACATACTTAACATTTAATAAACATACGCCCTATACTTTTGATAATAAACACATAACGATAACCATTTACATTTCCTTACCAGAAAGTAAGTTGAAGCATATTTAATATAATTATCATAAGCGTGACAATCTTAAAAATTTAAAATAAAACTTGACGCTATAATATCATTATATGGTGAGTATAACTAAAGGCTAAGGCCTTAAAAGCAGGATTCGTATCATTTCACCGACAATCATTTCATCGACAGCTCATTTAGCCGACATCACGCCAAGTGACAATTTACTAAAAAT